GCCCAGAGTTTACTGATACATTGGCGCACACAGCTAGAGACAGACCCGCTCGTCACATCGTGCAAATAGGGCTTAAAATAGCGTTATTAAGAGACGTCCCCTCTCCCTCTTCTCTTTTTTTTACCAACAGCTTTCACCGGTTAACGGTCATCGATTTACATCCCTAAATGGATCACATCGAGACTCAAGGCAGAGGCAGAAATCTCTCTCAAGAATGGGCAAAAATCCTCCACACTACTGAAAAAACAGGTGCTGGTCACAAAGCTGTGTTGGATAACATGTAATACTACCAAAGGGTAAGTATTAGTAAGTATTAGTGGTAATGTAAGGTAAATACATCTCAAAACTCAATATATAGTTGTCTGACATACTTAAAGCAGCTCTTGCAAAAGGTTTGGCCAATGGATCATTTAATCAACACAGAAATAAGAACATTGGTGGCACAGTTGGCTTGAAACAATAAAGAATAAACCATGGCAACAAGTAGTAAGTAGGCTGAGGAAAATAGCGACAGAAGCGCTGCTGTAAAAGATGCAATTTGTTTTACATTACTGAAGCAAATGCAGTTTGAAAGTGAAAGCAATCACCAAGCTATCATTTGTGGGACTGAACAATAATTCAGTTTCATCATAGCACATTTGCGGCTGTAAAATGTTTTTTCATACAACTTGCAAACATTAAAAACATGGTTTGGATTGACACAAATGTGTCCATTTGGTAGTTGTCCTGTATTGTAAACAGAATATAATCAAATTTTTGTTTCATTTAAATGTATTTTTGATGGCCATAGGACAACTGTACTTTAATAAACAGTACGTATTTTTCAAAAATGAAATAATTAAAATGGTTTCTCCCTTTGACATAACTTTGACCAGAAAGATTTTTTGGAAGAGAAAAATTAAACCAATGACGTGACACCTCAAGGATTTTAATACATTTCAACCAATCAATGCAAATGTTCATAAATGTTGTTGAACATAGGGCTGGAGAGATTCATCGATTGGTACTGGTTAAGCACTTGGGAAGAAACTGCACCGGCACATTACAGCATGGGTCGATAAACAAAAGGGACGGATTCGGCAGGTATCGGCTCTTGTCTCTCTGGATTGGTTTAATCTTGCGTGGATTGGTTTTAATCCTGGTTCACACGGCAGGATATTTAGGCCGATTTAGACCCGATTTACCCCTTACGACAATCTTAAGAAACGCTCCGATTTCCGTAACAAAATCTTACAGATTATCCTGCCGTGTGTGGTGTGTTAAGACTGCACTCGTCGCTCGGAAGGACATTGGGACTGCTCCCGATCTCAAATCGGGGATATCCAACATGTTGGATTGTTTTGGCCCGATTTCTTGTCGTGTGTGGTGTCCTCCGAGGACAAGCGAGCGCGTTGCCATGACTACGGCGTGTAGCCAATAAGAAGACGAGGTGACAAGCCGGTGAGGAAACACCGGAAAAAAACCAAAACACAGCAGCATGGCTTTGACCATTGCCTTTTCTTTGGATTACGTGTCTTCTCTGTTAACAACAAACTGCACACTATCGCCACTGCATCCTCTTCGTCCGCCATGACTGTTTACTCTGAAGTCACGCTTGATCTCGAGAGATTTTGTGAGATCTCCGTCTGACCTGGGAATGCTCGGGGGGGGGTGTCGGTTCGTGTGTGATGTTTGTGGCTTGCGTGATCTTGCCGTGTGGCTACGCACCACACACTGCACGACCAAAGTGGTTAGACGCAGGATTTTTAATCTCCCCGTGTGGGGTCTAACACGGAGAAAAATCGGCCGACAATTTTAAAATCGTCTCGTGTGAACCAGGCTTTAGATCGCTAATGCACCTGCTCAGCGTCCAGTGTCCGTTTGTTATAGCAAAGTCTTTTATCCTATCCTATCTTGACTGTAAATATTAACGGGCGTAGTCACGCCTGTCTAATGTGCCATCACTTTTTCAAAATGGCCGCAGGCAGCCCCTCCCACGGGAAAATGTGAGAAACACATTAGTGAATGCGTCCGTCGGCACCAGCCCCATTCATTTAACGAGAGTGCCTTCTGAAGTCCACAGAGGCTAAACTAGAGTGGTCCAAACAAATATACTCCCCTCAGCATTGACACACATCGGGAATGTAGTCTTGGGCCAAGATCCGACTTTTGGACCCATAAAGATCACGAAAGGCGCCCGCGAAGCATGATGATAAATAGTATTGGTCCCGGAGTCTGGACCCAGTCTTACGTCTCCGGCCCTTCACTCAGCGGTTGGCCTTTGCAGAACATGCAGCGTTTGCTACAGATCAGAATGTAAGCTCTGTTTTGATCTTTAATGCATCCAAAAAGAGTCCGTATTCAGAGAAATATGATCAAGAGTCACGGAAAATACGTTTTTCTTTGTGTGCTCGCTCCGGCAAATTTAAGTCTGTGTGGGATTTGTCAAATTAAAAACAACACCTATAATGGTGAAAGAAACATGTGTTTTTCAAATGCTAATAACTCAAAGGTATCATTGAGATATGGATTTGCATTAGCTAAGTTCAATCTCAAGACAATGATTGAATTAGAATGATATTTATTGGCATGTTTGCATTAATGTATTGTAACTGCATAATAAGACAGACTTGGCTGAAGGATGATGAGGTACTAATATATTTATTGCATTTTAACATCAAGATATATTGCAATGTGATGATTTATCAGTATTTATACTTTCATCTAACTTTAACATTGCTGCAGCCTGTTGCTTTGGACAGAATCAAATCAAAAGCAAAAAAGCAGCCATCGCTTGCAACTGAACCAAAGCCATACAATGAAATTAATTGCACATTAGCTCGTAAAAAATGTAATCTGTGTATTGTTTTGACGACACTGCTTGTAAAAGGATGAGTGAACATAACCGCACTGTCATACACTCTTCCTTGGTGATGAATGGAGAGCGCATGCACGACGTAAGTGTGTAATTATAATCAGTGGGAGACGTCTCTTAGATGAAGGTGGTCCAGATACATTTGGACCCATTCCAAACAGCACAGGAGTGGGACTGCAGCCAAACACCCAATAATGCTCTCCAACAGCTGAGGACAAGCAGATCAGCAGAGTGGGTCATCTCATGTGGCTGTTTGCACTGAGGCTTTGAAAAATGATTTTGGGGCTTTGGGCCGTCTTTGCATTAGGATTTAAAGTCAAAGGACATATTGCACAGATTTAAGATCAAGATCCAAGTTATAACAGGCTGACATATGTTCACAAAGGAAGAGAATACGGACTACGCTGCAAAACCAGACTTCATTTGTCTTTACCCAGTCCCCAGTCTGGTCCCAGTTTATGGAGCACTTTAACTGATAGAACAGAGCATACTTGTGAAAGGTTCAAAGGTCTTTGCCCTCTGGAGCTGTAAATCCATCCATTTTCTACCCCTTAATCCATTTCTGGGTAGGGGAGTGGCCAGAGAGCCACCCAGTCCACAGAGCACCAGCCCCTCACTGATCCTCCTGCAGGAGGTGAGTCCACATGAGGACAGCTGCTCTATGGCACAGCCTTGGTCTTTCAGTGGGAGCTTCAGGCAAAGTGGGGTGAAGTGTCTTGCCCAAGGACACAACGACAGCAGTCATCAGCGGGAGTCAGTGGAGAACCCACGACCTTCAGGCTCAAAGGCCAATGCTCTATGCCAACAGTACATAAACAGTTTAACACAAACTCAATTTAGCTTTGGGCTACTGATGCATGTCTCGCTGCTAAGTTGTCATTTTGTTGCTAATAGATGTGGCCGATAAAAATATATATTTTTTGCAATAATCAATGGACAATTATGCTTCTTTGACTTAAGCTTAAAAACCTATGCTTTAACTCTCTGTATGATCCTAGTGTTTTTTATTTTAATCATGTATTTTTTAATCCTTCTGCTCGTGAGTAGTGCCAGCGCTAGCAGACCAGTGTGATTCCAGATCGGCTCCTTGGTTGCTAGGATGTTGCAGGGCCCAAACTTGGCTCCAGAGTTAGCTCTAATGGTTTTTTTGTTATTGTAGCAATAATTGATTGATTTATCTAAATTAGAAAACAAAATTTGAAATGATATACATTCACCAAAACAAAAGAGAATGAAGCGAAGCTTTCTTTGCTTGCTCATCCTATCAACACATAGGATAGGAACATTTAGATTCCATAAGCTGAAAAGTTGTCATGTCAGTAATACACTACTGCTTATGTTTGTTTTAGACGTGAATAAATACCCAGACTCATCTAGATAGATACAGTAGGAGAATGTATGTGTCCAGTCGCTGCAGAAACACATCCATTCATACAAACAAAACAAATAAATAGATCATTATAAAAATAGCTAACGATAGTATTAAAATGCAACAGCACTTTAGGTCACAGCCGCAGAGGTGGTGTAGCCGCTGGGTGGAAAAGGGCAGATCACAGCCGCAGAGGTGGATTTTCCGCTTGGTTCGGACTCTTTTCTCTGCTCTAGTCCAAAGAAAAATGCTTCATTACCATTTTTCAAAAAGTTAGCAGTGGATTTTCGGCAGATCTGCTTGGTTCGGACCAAGAATTGTCTCTGCTCCGGTCTGGACCAATGCAAAACCATGAACACCGTACGGCAGAAACATCTGCAGCAACATCTCAGGTAGAAATATATCAAGAAAGATTACAATTGTAGAGAACCAAATTACAGCTGTTTCAAAGCTACGAAGGACTTGCTGCCGTTTCCAGCGCATTCTCTTTCTTTTACATTTGTTCTTACTTTAGTGTTCAAGATATATAAACCAGAGAAAAACATTTCCAACTCTTAGTTTCAACATATTTTGTATGCCTTATGGAGTTTTATCTCCTTAAAGTAAATGTTGGTATACAACATGATTTAATTAAAGAGATGTAATCTGTATAAACATATTATTGCTGGATGAAAGGCAAACACTTTGAGTGACAGTCTAAGGTTTCATTGAAAAAAAAAGTCAAGACACAAAATAAAGATATACTTCTGCATGGATAATCATGGATAATCGTGTGTCCTATTTGAAGAGTGTCGTACCTTGGACCTCTTGGTCGTTGCGAAACCAGCGGATGTTGGCGGCGGGTTTGCTGCCCCATGTGGTGCAGGTGAGGGTAACCAGCTCCCCCTCCAGAGCCGGTCTGGTGAAGCCTGTGATCTCCGGTCGCCGTGGCACTCCTGCCATGGACACACGTGCAGTTTACATGAGCAAGTACTCAATGTTATAATAATGCATTCTCACACAGTAGTGTATTCACATTCCTCCGTACTTCAATTATTGGAGGACTTACCCTAATCCTAACCCTTTTACTGAAAATATATAGTATGTCAAGGCCCACTACACAATATTTTTCAGTCATATATGATTGTCCCTTGTATCTAGATACGTATTGCGCAATGCATTAAGTAAGCTGTGAACGACATCCTGATGATGTGTGGTTGTTTTTAATAATAATCACTTTTCTTGTTCGTATATTTATTTATATCGTATATTTATAAATAAATATACGAATAAAGTATAAATATTTGTATATTTATACATTTCTGTATACATATGTTTTTTGTCTCTTTATTATTATTATTATTATTTTTTATTTTTTTAAATCTATGAACCAGTTCTACAGTATCTGTGTTCTTAATAAAGAATGAATTGAATTGAATTGTTCGGACAGAAACACTGGTAAATATTTTCTTATTTTTTAAACTCAAAAATAAATAACAAAAATAAAGATTTTTTTTTTCATCACCTGCAATGTAATTAAACTCAAACATTGTATGTAAGCCGATAGCTGGCTGTTTAACATTTCTTTCAGCAAGATGTCTCCTATCTTTATTTTACTGATAACAGGCCTTGGCCTCATGCTTGCATTTAGGTAAGGCAAGTGTATTTGTATAGCACAATTCATACACACGGCAACTCAAAGTGCCGAACAAATCACTCACCTGCAGGAGGATCAGTGAGGGGCTGGTGCTAAGTGGACTGGGTGGCATCTCTGGCCACCCCCCCAACCCAGAAATGGATGGGGAAGAAAATGGATGGATGGAGTTATATGCACAGCTCAACAGAACTGTTTTGAACCTGGTTTTAAACATTGTCAGAGAAGAGGCCTGTCTCACATTTTCAGGAAGATTCCTGTGCTCCTCGGAGTCCGGGTCAGTTCAAATGGCACGTCACTTATGTACTTTGGCTCGAGGCTATGGAGAGACTGCAGAGCTGTTTTAAAGTCTATTCTCTGAGCCACAGGAAGCCAGTGCAGAGACCTGAGGACTGGACTAATGTGGTCGTACTTCCTGGTTCTAGTCAGGACTAATGTGGTCGTACTTCCTGGTTCTAGTCAGGACTAATGTGGTCGTACTTCCTGGTTCTAGTCAGGACTAATGTGGTCGTACTTCCTGGTTCTAGTCAGGACTGGAGCTGCTGCATTTTGAATGTACTGCAGCTGTTTTACAGCCTGTTTGGACAGACCTGTGAGCAGGCCATTGCTGTCCTCTCTCCCTCTGCTGCCCTCTCTCCCTCTCTCCCTCCGCTGCCCTCTCTCCCTCCGCTGCCCTCTCTCCCTCCGCTGTCCTCTCTCCCTCCGCTGCCCTCTCTCCCTCCGCTGCCCTCTCTCCCTCCTTTGCCCTCTCTCCCTCCTTTGCCCTCTCTCCCTCCTCTGCCCCCTCTCCCTCCTCTGCCCTCTCTCCCTCCGCTGCCCCCCCTCCTTCTCTCCCTCCTCTGCCCTCTCTCCCTCTCTTCGCACCATCAGCCTGACCCTTGACTGTTCTCCCCCTCCAGGTTTTTCTGTTGTGGATATTAACCACGTTTCATTTTAAAGCAGGTATTATGTGTTTGAAGCCTCCAAACACCTTTAGTTTTAGCAAACAACAGCAGGACATGCTTTGTCGCTGCGCATGATGTGAGCTGCGTAACTTAATTTTGATTGACGCTGTCAATGACTGGGACAACGTAATTAAAATATATTATATTCTCCTAACACACAATTTAACAAGTAATCCTTTTGAATCAAATCAAATGCAAAATAAATATTTAAGGGATATTAATTTGCTCAAATTTTATTTTTTTTCGTTTATTTTTTTTGGAAATCATCTTGCGACCCCCCCAGGGGATCCCGCGACCCCCCGGGGGGTCGGGACCCCCACTTTGGGAACCACTGGTCTAACCTACTGGAGACAAATGCATGGATAAGAATCTCCAAGTCTGCTTTAGACACTATGTTTTTGATCCTGGCAATGTTTTTTGGATGGTAAAAAGCTGCTGATGTTACTGATTTATATGCTGTTTACACAAGGACGCTGCAACAGTAAAACGTTAGAGTTGGGTGTCAGATTCAGGGGGTTGCAAACGTGTTGTGAAACAGCCTCCAGAGTGGAACAGAACGAATATGCTCACAGCCGCGTGAAATCTCTGGCTGCAATGACCTCACCACTTCCCCGCACTTACATTTGGACTTGCGCAGTAGCCGAGAACAAACAGCAATGGTGGTGGATCAACTAATGCTACCAATTCTACTCCTTCGTTTGTGCAAACAATTCAGTTTCCATTTTTGCTGCTACAGTACTGTTAAATGCAGAATGTTGGTGCATCCTCCTCAAGCATTGAGGTGGCCTGAGGAAGATCTTGTTGAGGAAGTGATTATACTGCTGGGTCGAGTGTGTTGTAAAGTTCCATTGCCCACTACTGGCCGGGCGTTAGAACTACAAAAAAAAGAAAACCCTACGTTTTCCGCAGGCGTGTAGACGCTATGCACTTCGACTACAGAGCATAGTAGTTTTTGCAAATTGCTTTGCAGCGTGAGGCGACAGTAGCTCAGTTGGTAGGTCCTTGGGCAAGACACTTAACCCTGCATTGCCTGAAGCCCCCGCTGAAAAATCAAGGCCGTATTGTCACTGACAGAGCAGCCGTCCTCCTGTGGACTCACCACCTGCAGAGGATCAGTGAGGGGCTGGTGCTCTGTGTACTGGGTGCAGCTCTGACTGCCACCCCCCCCCCCCGACCCAGAAATGGATTAAGGGGAAGAAGATGGATGGATGGATGGCTTTGCAGCGTGTGTGTCTGGATCCCTAGCCTGTAATTGGAGGTCCACTGCCTCTAACACATCCTCAAACTCGTGAGGACGGGGGTTCCATCCTTTTTGCAAACGACTGTCACTGAGGTGTGACAGTGACTGCAGTGTGGCCTTGGTCCTCCTTCTGTAGCTTAGTTCCTGGATCTATAGCACGTCTGTCCGTGTGCAGCGGATCCCCCTCTCAATGTGGAATGCGCAGAGAGCGCGCAGTAAACGCGTACGCGCTGTTTACACCTACTGTGGAAATTCCCTGTAAAGCCTGGTTCACACGAGACGATTTTAAAATTGTCGGCCGATTTTTCTCCGTGTTAGACCCCACACGGGGAGATTAAAAATCCTGCGTCTAACCACTTTGGTCGTGCAGTGTGTGGTGCGTAGCCACACGGCAAGATCACGCAAGCCACAAACATCACACACGAACCGACACCCCCCCCCGAGCATTCCCAGGTCAGACGGAAATCTCACAAAATCTCTCGAGATCAAGCGTGACTTCAGAGTAAACAGTCATGGCAGACGAAGAGGATGCAGTGGCGATAGTGTGCAGTTTGTTGTTAACAGAGAAGACACGTAATCCAAAGAAAAGGCAATGGTCAAAGCCATGCTGCTGTGTTTTGGTTTTTTTCCGGTGTTTCCTCACCGGCTTGTCACCTCGTCTTCTTATTGGCTACACGCCGTAGTCATGGCAACGCGCTCGCTTGTCCTCGGAGGACACCACACACGACAAGAAATCGGGCCAAAACAATCCAACATGTTGGATATCCCCGATTTGAGATCGGGAGTAGTCCCGATGTCCTTCCGAGCGACGAGTGCAGTCTTAACACACCACACACGGCAGGATAATCTGTAAGATTTTGTTACGGAAATCGGAGCGTTTCTTAAGATTGTCGTAAGGGGTAAATCGGGTCTAAATCGGCCTAAATATCCTGCCGTGTGAACCAGGCTTAAGACTGTTAGTGGTCTAACAATAAGGACTGTGGTGATGATCCACAACATTTATGGACATTGGTCCAATACCTGTGTTCTATATTTTTTGTGTGTTTGATTTTCTGATCTGTGTCGGCGATTCTGAGATAACTTCTGCTGTGATTTACGGCTATACAAGAATAAATTGAATTGGACTGTTTTAAAGAGACACTCATTTTTGTTGTCACTTTGTTTAATCTAACAGTTGAGACTTTTGAGACAACTGTTTAGAGTTTAGTTTTGTGTTGTTATTTTACCATTACTTACCATTGAAGTCTTGGTTCTCTTGTATCCTCCCTTGACAATTATTTTGTAATAAAATTGTAAATAAACTTAAGAGCCCTACGTGCTTTAAGCTCACTATCCTGTGGGAGTGCAGGGCGTGTCCTGACCTAGCACAGTGAGGTAGGCCTTGGTGGTCTTGACTGGCATAGTGAACAGGGAGCAGGTGTAGAGGCCCTCGTCCGACAGGCTGACGTCGTTGATGCGGATGGTCAGCTCCTGGGAGGTCGCCCGCACCAGCTCGATCCGGTTATCCCGAAGAGCTGCAAACATGCACGTCAAAACTAGTCAGTGTCATGCAAACAGAGGATTTCAGCTCCATCCAAGCTAATGTCAAGAGCTCAATTTGGCCCTCAAGTGTCCCCCGCCCTATCTGCATGAAGGCTCCTGTTGTCAACTCCGGTACACTCAGACTATGACTATGTTTTTTGCCTTAAAACTAAAGTGTTGCCTCTAATTTAATCGGATTTTGAGGTCACAATAGTGGAGGTAATAAAATAATATACACAATCATTGGCATTGTTCAAATCATTCATATTCCTGGATGATAGTTTGATGGGCAAAGGTAAATAAGAAACATGTCAATCCACATCCTCAGCTTAAACTACCCTTAACCACTGTGTTTGTCCGACTACAAGCCGCTGCATTTCTCCTTCAACCTTGTGCTCTACACTGTGATCTATTTTTATTGTGATAGAGTTGGACTGTTGTCAAAGGAAAGTTTATTTTGCCACTGTGGGACTAATTAAGGAAAATATAAGTGTAAGTTTGCACTTTATCCCGTAGGTATCATTCTTTCCTTATTTTGACTTTATTTTTTTTAGTAGCTATAGGACTCATGTTTATTGCTAACGTGAGCTAATGTTTTCCTCACCAACCTGCACCTTAAACTCAAGTGCGACCTCTATGTGGACAAAATTACTATCTTTTCAAATATCGGCGGTTTATATAGATTAGTCCAGCATATATTATTAAACAAACTATGCATATTATGAGTGGAGTTTCAATTTCTTGATAGAACCAGACCAGAATACTTTACTATCGCATTCTTCGCCAAACTACGACCTTCCCGTTCTCCGCAAACTCTTGACGTCACCCACATCTAACTACAACACCCGCCTCCCGCGCTCTCTGATTGGTCGGATGGAATTCAACCGATTGTAATCCCAAACACTGGGACCAGACCCAGACGTTACATGCAGTGAAATGATAATTGAGCGGCGTGTACGGATGGATAAGGCCAGACTATGATGTATGTGAGTTAGTTCACAATCTACGTGTGTGCCGATGTCTTTTCTAAGGCTTGTAATAACAACGGGTGACATCAGCGGCGAGACAGAGCGTTTCAAGAACTCTTTCTGATTATACTGATGGAATCTGACTCATTTACAAGTAATTACAACTAATTGGAAGACGCCTAACAAGCAGATTTCCCTCTGGGCTTTATTAAAGTTGAATTGAAATAAGCACTTCACCAAAGCTTGCCTTCCTCCAAGAGACACTTTTCATTTAGCAGCTAAAATCAACATCCAAGATTATTTCAAGGGTTTCCCCCCCTTTCCCTTTTACTCACATGTCTGTCGGTCTACTACTCTGCAATAGCTCAACCTGGGTAGGGACCAATTAAAGAAAAAAATGTTGAAACACAGACATTTGTATTAATCTATAAATGTTCTGGTGAAAAATATAGTTAACCACAGGATTAACCCAAAAAACAGCTCACAGATATTCCCACATCCACACTGACATAGTATGATGTCATTGTACCTCTATGACATCACACTCAGAGCAGTTTTCTGCATTTTAAAACATTATAAAAGAGACTTTTTATACAACGACATATCTGTGTTTACAGCCGTATATTTAGCTTTCCGTCTGCTGTAACTCTTGATTGCTACCTAGCATCTGGAGCTACTTTTTTGTGTGTGCATTTTTCATCATATATTTTCTTTAGAAGATGTTGTTTCACATTCTAAAACATGACATGGCAAACAACGTCATTATAATTCTAATGGCCCAAAATAATGCTCAATGTTTTTTCTTTGGTCATCCTACAATGGGCTTGGAAATATTTTAGCTCCATCCTTGCTAAAACTGGTCCCCACCCCTTCTTTTCAAATGCTTCTCTCTCAAACGTGTTAGGCTATGACAAATCCTGCGACAGAGCTACCACACAACTTATTAAATTTAGTTAAATGAGATTCCATAAATGTATAATTGAGGCTAAATTGCCCTTGTTATGTCTTCTTAAGAACAACATCCTGTATGGAAGCTAGTTCAAATAAACTAAAAAATATGTTTTATTTCACTTCACTTTCAGCTGAGAGAAACCGCCGATGAGTAATAGTACAAACATTCTCGCGGAGGCCATCTTCTCTACAAATCGCTTGGAGCGGAGGACGCAGCAGTGATTACATTTGAATAAACAAGGCCAAAGTACGTACATGTATGGAGCGATACAAGATAAAGGCACAAAACACACTCCACAAACCTTCTGCCATTAGATTTGCGATAAACAGCCCACGTGGAATTAATTAGAGGCGCTTTGCGGGAGGAGCAAGCACATACACCGAATCATTCAAGGATAGTTCTCAGGCCTTATCAGGGTGTGTGCCTGGAGACATCACAGACTATGGGTGGAACATTTGGTCCATTATAAAGTCCTTTAAGCAGTAGAGCGAAGTAGAGGTTTGGAAGAGAAATATGAAGGACAGTGGAAGTGAATGGGCATCTGTTTTAAAGTTCCTGTCTCACTCCTGTAATAGTATGATGTCACTGTATCACTTCGACATCAGAGATTTCTGACTTTCATTTTTTTAAATAAAAGCATTGCACATGAATTTGAATTTCTAAAGTTCTTTACAATGTCTATGTTTGCAGCCAATAATTTTTGCATTTGGAAAAAAAGCATAAACATAATCAGCTCGTCTCTGGTGGTAGCATTGGGAGAACAGGCGTCATATTTGCTGATAATGGTCAATTATTGTGCATTAGGTACTGTACCTAGCTTTCTCCCTCATGTTATTTGATCTATCAGAGAGACTTGAAAAAGAGAAAACCAGTGACAAAATCCAACCACATCACGCGGTCTATCTCACTTGAAAACATGTTATCAGTAATCTTTATTCATACAGCGCCTTTCACAGACCAGAGTCACAAAGCGCTTTACAATTGTTATTTTGGGCATAGTAAGAGTCAAATAGTCACTATATGACTCTTTTGGCCGAGAGCTGATTGGAGCTGACTTTGGCTCACATTTCTGTAAGAATAAGATGATCTCAAAGTGTGACAGAGGCCAAAAAGTGAAAACAGGTGATAGAACCAAACTGTTTAAGATGAACTAGTTGGATAGATAGGCTAGATGGATTTTATTACATACACTTAAAATAATATAAATGCAGCGCTTCTGTTTTTGACCCCATTTTGATCCCAATAACCCAATTTCAACTAAAAAACTCGCATTATAAACCCAGTGGACCAAATTGGATCTCTTTTAGGGCTGGGAAAATGAAATTTGATCACTTAATATAATTTGAATATATATTTATATATATGCAGCGTTCTGACCCGGGGCAGCTGCGGCCGCTCTGGACAGCGGCCCCCACCTCCAGCAGCCCCCACCTCCAGCGGCTGTGACCCGCTTTGTCAACAATGCGACGAACGTGATCTAACTGCTCGGCTTGCTGTGTGTGTGTCTTTGCGTAACCTGTAAATGAGTGTCCGTGTCAAAGCGCACAAATTAAAGCTGGGGTACCTAATTTTCCCTTGCACTACCAGTTCATGTTGGTTGTGCCCAAAAGTAAAATGTTGTGAGCAAATCACACAGATTTCATGACATTCTGCATTTCAGACTGTGTAGAACTGTCCCATTCTCATCCCTGTAACAAACAATAGTGTCTAAACAGAAAGACAGAATGTTAATATTGTTATTACCATTTTATGTGGATTTATTGTTGTTATAATAAAAAAAAAAAAACAGTACTTATGTACACTTATGTACACGTACATGTTATCACTTATCTTTCCATTCAAACAACCATTTCCAGAAAAATATGGCATCATTTTGTTGATGGTTCGAAATGTGATTAATTACAATTAATTAATTTTTACGCTGTAATTAACTCAATATATATTTTTAATAGTTTGACAGCCCTTAAAAAATACATTCAAACAAATATTAGACATATATTGGAAAATATTATACTGGCATGGGCTTTGAAGCTAACAAGGTTAAGCTTTCTTCTCCACGAATGCAGCTCTGCAGCGCCTCTGTGTCCAGAGACCTTCCATATAACAGCAGTATGTGTTCATGGAGCTGCACACGCAGCGCTTATGGGATTATTTTATAATTATAGATAGTGGAAAAATTTGCACATCCAACTCAGGTGTCAGGAGCATAAGAGCAGGCTCCGCACAGTTTCACCAACATGGAAAAGTACTACTACTAACTACTCTGTACTTTCATACACCAGTGTTTTTTTTTATTTACAGATGCAATGTTTCGGCTGTGGGCCTTCTTTTCCGTTCCGCAGCCATGAGCTGCAGTATCACATGGGTCACCCAATAAATGCTTAGATCCCAAATAAGTGTAACAGCCGGACAATTGAAAATGACATATTCAAAGACATTATACATACTGTATATTGTATGAAGTACAATATTGTACAAATATAATGAATGTGGCTGATAATTAAGTAAGTAAGTAAGTAATCTTTATTTATATACCGCCTTTTCACTGCACATCGGAGTCTCAAAGCGGTTTACAATTGTTATTTTTGGGAGTGGGGCCAGTACAGGAGGCGCATGCCAGACCTATTGGACATATTTTTAGTGGTAGGGGAAACCGGAGCACCCGGAGGAAACCTACGCAGACACGGGGAGAACATGCAAACTCCACTCAGAAAGGCCCTGGTCCAACCGGGATTCGAACCCAGGACCTTCTTGCTGAGAGGCGAGAGTGCTATCCACTCAGCCACCGTGCCGAATCTGTCAATCCATCCATCAACATACTGGAAACACAACGCAATCGCAAAACAACACCCACATCCATTTTAGGAATACACTGAGTAGCAGTTCGTACTTTAGTCCCTTTGGTGCAAGAGTTTGTAAGTGACGCTCGTCTCCTCTGTGCGCTGCAACTGGGTCATTTCTGCGGATTTTACTTTCACTAATTCCTTGTTTCAATTTTCTCTTTGTTTTGCCAACATATGCCAGTCCACAAGGGCAGCGAAGGGCGGCCCACGGCCAAAACGTTGTCTCTGTAAATAAATAAA